ATAGATGATCATCGGGACGATCATCTGAATAGCACGTGATTGCCAGCTTCAGCCATTTCCAGCTTCAGCCCCGACAATAATTATTCAAAATAAATTTCTACCATTTAATTTTATTTATTCATGTTAATTTAGAGGGTAATTAATGCTTATAAATTATTTACTTATTGAATAATAAATTAATTGAGGAGCATATATATTAAATAGGATCCGTACACATTGCAATGAATATAACGCGCATGAATTTTGGTATTGCATTTCGTTATAGATACTCAGCGGCCTGTTAGATGATACATAAAAAATTAACAAAAAGATTATTCCTATGTAAGATCGTGTGATCTATCTAACACTGTTGCACTTAAGAATCTAAGATACTCTCTATGTTTGAGAGAAGTAAGCACAAAATATATAATTAATGAGTATATGATAGTATTTCAATATGTCAATGATGGAAGTTCTTTTGAGAAAAATTTTCAAGATCTTAACTGGCGGGCTAAATTAAACTACTTCAGGATATTTCAGAAGATTTAGATAATCTTCATAGTGCAGGATATATTCATGTAGACTTTTATAGTGGTAAATCTTGTAATATTATGCAACTTACATCTTAATTTATAAAGTTTTGTTTTATGTTGCTCTAGAAGCTTTATCTCACTAGAGATTCAAGTATTATAGTCGGTGGTATACGGAGCACTCTATCAAAGATATCAAATAGACAAAAAACTTTTGATAGTTATGTTGGAATGTGGCCCGAATTTCTTTTAGAACTTCTGGCTTCATATTGAAATAGATAAGTAATACATAGATTCAGGTCGATTGGATTAGAAGGTTTGCGGGGGTCATCTGGCTCATAATTTTTTTAATTCTGTAATTACTACTTGTGTATTTGCTTACAGGATTTAGCTCTGTTTATCACTTTTTTTGAATTAGTGCGATAAATGAGTTTTGTGAAACCTGCATATTTCATTGTTTCGCAATATGCAGGGTTTTGTGATTCACCAAATTCATTTACCGCATTAGAAAATAGCGATAATATAAATAAATGGCGGTAACAAGTTTTTAAATTTTAAATTTTTTTTTTTTTTTGATTTTTTTTTTTTATGCTTTTATGTTCCCTTACATTTTTACACTTCTGTATATTTATATCAACACTTTTATTTATACTTCTCTATAAATATGAAATATGTGAAATATTCCCATATGCCTTATATTCTATGTCCCCACATATAGATAAATACTTATCTATTAATATGTGAATATGTCCTATAATCAAATTCTGGATATGAACATGGGTTTTTTTTCTTGTATCACACAACTGACTATAAAAAAAATGATATTTTTTTTGTTTGCGTGCAAGTTTTATCATTTACAAGTAAACATGACAAAGCAAAGCTATACTATTGCATTTAAGCTCAACGTGATTTCATATGCAGAAAATACTTTCAACTATCATGTCACTATATATTACAAGGTTAACAGAAAATGAGTTCAAGAGTGGCAAAAGCAAAAGACCAGTTTAGAGGCCATAAGAGACGACAAGAATTTGATTGTAAACCAAGTAGAGTTCTCAGTGATTGTGGTTGAAAAGCCGCCTACCCCATTGGAAAAAGAGTTATTAGAATATATCAAAAAAAGAAGGAAAGAAAGGGCACGGTCATGATATCCATGATTATAAAAAAAGCCAAAGATTTGGGAACAAATCTGGGTCTTATAGACATCAAGTTTTCCTGGGGTTGGGCCGAACGTTTCAAATAGCGATATAAATTAATAAAACGTGCTTGTATACAAGTAGCCCAGAAGGTCTCCAAAGGCATGCCGCAAATATTATAAAAGTTCATATACAAGATCCCCAAAATAGTAGACACACCATGAATTAGACCCGAGCATGAACCACAGAATCTTTATTAATTAAATGTGGGTTTTTCAAATAGCCAGAATGTCTATTATAAATATAAGGTGTATAAGCACTTTAAAATTTTTTCTTTATGTCATAAGCTCTGGGCGAGTACTAGACTCTGGGTCTACTAAAGAGTTTAAAAATTGGTGAAATGTACAAGATCCGGGTCTTGTATATAAACTTTTACTGTAGTTATAAATTTCCTTTGGATTGTACGTGAAAAAACATATAATCTTGAAAAAAAGTTTATTCTTTCTTTTGACGAGACGCCTATATAGTTTGATATGCTATGAAATTCAACAATTGATTTTAAAGGTGTTTGTGAAGTATCAATTAAAACTACAGGAAGTGATAAACTACATTTTACAGTAGTTTTGAGCTACACCGTGGCTGGAAAAAAACTTCTACCAATGGTAATCTTTAAACTAAAGAAAAAACCAAAGGGTAATTTTTCACGAGACATTGTGGTAGCAACAGCACCCTCTGCAAACATGACGCAGGATTTAATGATTTCCACTTTTATCTCACGGGTTGTTCGGGCTAGGCCCAATGGGTTTTTTAAAAGCAAGAGTTTAATTTTTTTTGATACGTATCGTAAAAATAGAATGCAAAAAAGATAGGAAGAATGGATGGATAAAGGAAAAATAATAATTACTAAAAAGAAAAACTGCAAGAAGATGCTATACGAGCTGGTTTGTGGATGGGTATCTGAAACCTGGAAGGAGATCAGTACAAATGTGTTAGTTAAATCTTTTGAAGCGACGAGATTAATGCTTAATTCTGATAATAGTAAAAATAATAAAATGTTAAGCTGTCTTCAAGCTATTGTTGAAAACTGTCCAATTGAGAAAAGAATATTTTTAGATAAATTGAATTATGATAATGTGTGATAATGAGCTGGATAATGAGCTGGGTAATGAGCTGGGTAATGAGCTGGATAATGAGCTGTATAATGAGTTGTATAATGAATCGAGTGAGTTAAACGATTATGCTGAAAATATGATTGATTATGGCCTAGATTTTGATAGGGATGAAGATGAGTAGACAAATAACGATGGAGTGATAGAAGTTGATAAAATAATAAAAATCGAATAAAATTGGTAAGTACTGTATACAAGATCTTCTGAAATAATAGATCCACCATGAATTAGACCCAGTGTGAATCACAGAATCTTTATTAATTAAATGATACTTTTTTCAAATAGCTAGAATGTCTATTATGAGTACAAGTGTGTATATACTTTAAATTTTTTCTTAACTCCTAGCGTGTACTAGACTTAGGATTTATTAAGTGATTTAAATATTGGTAGTTGTAACAGATATAGGTCTTGTATACAAACATTTACGGTCTTATCCAGAAAGGTACCATGGTTCAATTCTCAATATTCTTGAAATCTATTGCTATTGTAAAAAATACATACTAAGTAGAATTTTCCTTCTAAATAAATAACTCTAGAGTTTGATTTTTTACTACAAATGATATATTTATAAGTATAGTACAAATCTTGTTAAAATAAATCATTAAAATTGTTAAGGTTAGTAATCAATTAGGTTAGGTCATTGATACCAGTACGTAGAATTTAGATTGTAGGGTGCAGTATATGACTGGCCAATGAGAATTGCTATATATATATATGTTATAACCTTAAAAAAAAAAGCTATTTGTACTATACACTAAAGACAGTAGCAAATTTTCAACTATTTGAAAGATATTTAAATACTGTTATTTCTTCATTTTCTATTTTTATTACTAATTACATCTACTTTTACTCTAATCACTGCTAGCTTTTTTCAATATTGCAAACTATATACAAACTATATAGTTAATGAATAAGAATAACAGTAGAAGATGAAAAAAAAGTACCTTGCAAGAATATCTCACTGAATTCTTCGAATCTTAGAAAGGGCGAACTTGGATTAGCTGAGAAAAAAGCATTAGCAGATGCACTTTACAAGAATATCTTGCTAAATTCTTTGAAGATTAGAGAAAATAAGCATTAGCAAGTGCATTTTACAAGAATACTGCGCTGACTTCTTTAAACTCTTGATCAGAATAAACTTGGATCAGAAGAAGAAATATGCATTAGCAAATGCACTTTACAAGGACTTTACTTGGATCTTGTTTTAGACAAAAAAAGAAGAAAAAGCATTAGCAAATGCATTTTGTAAGAACACTAGGCGATTCGGTATAAAATTTTTTTTTGCAAGGTCTTAATTATTACTGCCAAAATATTGAATCATTATTAATTTTCTTATATATTTTTCCGCAATAACAGTAGCATGAAGTTTGAATTGACATATCACTTTAAATTTCTTTATTCAATTTATAATTTATTTGGGTTATTTCCTCCACAATTGGCTTATCAGTTTTTAATCACAATTTACTGTCCTTGGACTTCTTGACTTTGGTTCTTCGTTGGAATGAACTTGGACTAGAGGGAGAAAAAGCATTAACAAATACATTTTGCAAAAGCTTATGCTGTTTTCTTTAGATCTTTGGAATAATAAATTTGGGTTAGAAGGAGGAAAGAATTAATTGATATACTTTGTTGAAACGCTATTTATTTTTTAGAATCTTAGAAATAATAGTCTTGGATCAAGAGAAGGAGAAGCATTAGCAAATGCACTTTTAAGAATACTACACTAATTTACTTGTTCAGTTTAATAATCTCAAATAAGAATTAGTGAGATATATTTTGCAAGAATACCATATTCAAGAAAATAATCTTGGGTCTTGGGTCTGAAAAGGAAAAGATGTTATCAAATACACTTTGCAAGAATTTTATGCTGACTTTGTGGGTCTCTCAAAATAACGGTCTCAGACCAGAAGAAGAAAAGCGTTAAAAAATATATTTCACAAAATCATCAAACTGATCTTTTTAAAATAAATTTGTGAAAATATTAGCTGCAAGAATATCATCCTTGTTTACCTTATTTATATGGACTAGCAGAAAAAAAGCATTAGCCGGGCAGCACTTGTATATAATCTGTTATTTTTAGTATATACAATTAGAAATCTAATATTAATAGTTCAAACCTAGAAGTATTATGTTAATATATTATATGCGACTTCATGTGAAGCTTGAAATTTCAAATACTATGTAATTTACTGTTTAAGAGATTGTTTCATTCTAAAAGATATTTATATTTGCAATTATACTATAATAATTACATTATTTAACTTATTTTATACTATATGCACATATGTTATTAATATATTATAAGGGGTGTGCATTATTTTGAGACACGTATAGATGTTATTTTGAAACCATGTATGCTATTTTTAAGGGGCTCAATTTTTGAAATAATGCCCATACCTGTTATTTCATGAAAATATGGTAATTAAAATTATATTAATAAATATTTTAGTAATAAATTTATAAATAAAAGATTTTTAATATAATATTAGAGTAATACTGAAGCTTTAGTATTAAATTTATTTAATATTTTTATAATTTTTTTCTTTTTAAATTAATAAATATTGCAAATCTATTAGAATATATTTTATTTTATATTTATAATATAAGAGAGGTTTATAATTTAGAATTATTGATTATTAAAATTTTATTTAATATATTAAAAAGTATTATTTTAAAAATATTGTATAAAGACAAATTATATTTAATCTTTATTTTTCTACTAAATATCAATATATTTTGTTATATTTTTAATTAATTAAAGTCTAAAAAATCACTAAAAAAATATAAAAAAGCCAAATTTAAAAAAAAGATTAATATCTAAAACAAATAATCAAAAAATAAACAAATTTTTAAAAAGAATATACAAAAAAATAAAGAGAAAGATTAGTATTTAAAATAAATAATCAAAAATATATATATTATACTAAACTTAAAATAAAAAAATTTCTAGAAAGAATATAAGAAAATAAAAACTTAAAAAAATTAGTATTTAAAACAAATAATTAAAAATAAAAATACTTTATCTAAAATCTAAATAAAAAAATTACTAAAAAATATATAATAAAATAAGCAAAATTTGAAAAAATAATTAATATCTAAAACAAATTATTAAAAATATTATATTTGTAATTCAAAAATATAAAAAAATACAAATTTAAAAAACAAATTAATAGTAAAAAAAATAATTAAAAAAATTATATTTAAAGTCTAAAATAAAAAAAAAATAAAAAAAAAATTAAAAAATATACAAAAAAATCTAAAAAAATAATATATAAAGCAAATAATTAAAAAAATAAAAATTTATATCTAATATTTAAAATAAAAAAGATTAATTTAATAAAAAAATACAAAAAAGAAGTAAAATTAAAAAAATTTAATATTGAAATAAATTATTAAAAATACTATATTTATAGTCTAAAATAAAAAATATCAAAAAATATATATATAAAAGTTAAATTTAAAAAGAAAGAAGAAAATTAGTATTTAAAATAAATAATTAGCAAAAAATATTATATTTAAAATCTAAATCAAAAAAGATTACTAAAAAGAATATTTAAAAAAAATAAAATTTAAAAAAATTATTATATTTTATCTAAAATAATTAATTAAAAAATTTATATTAAAAGTTTAAAGTAAAAAAATTTACTAAAAAAAATTTAAAAAAAAATTAATATTTAAACTAAATTATTAAAAAATAATTTACTATAAATGTATTTATAAAAAATTATTAAAAAATATATAAAAAAATAAAGCTAAAAAAAACATTATTTTATATAAATTTAAATAAAAAAAACTATACTCAAAGCTCAAAGTAAAAAATAATTATTTAAAGAATATACAAGAAGAAATAAAATATAAAAATTAATATCTAAAACAAATAATTAAAAATCTATATTTATAGTTTAATGTAAAAAGATTATTAAAAAATATATAAAAAAATAAAGTCTAAAAAAAGGATTAATATTAAAACAAATAATTATAACAAAAAACAAAACAAAAAATAACAAAATTACTATATTTAAAGTATATTTAAAAAATATATAAGAAAAAAACAAAATATAAAAAGAAAAAAACTAAATTTATTATAAAATAAAAATAAAATATTTGTATAATAAAATTTTTTAGATCTAATAAATTATATACTTTCTGATAATATATTATAAATTTATTAAAACAAATAATTATATTTAT